CTTTTTGCCAGCTGTCCAGTATCTACATAACTGGTACTTGAATTACATATCCAGTTTCTGAGTTATATAATGTGACAGAGGAACTTCAGTATTGACTTCTCTTTCAAAAAATAAAGGACATGGGGGGCTGGGGTACAAACCTGCCCCACAATATTATTTTGCATTAAGACCAGTTGCCTAATTCTTCAAACTGTACAGATCTTTTCAATTACAAGATTACAGACTCAAAAAATTTAAATTTGAGAGTTTTGAGATCTCAGCAAAATGAGAGGAGGAGCAACACTTCTTCCACTTTTCCATTTTAATCTTTTGCTCCTTTCCAGAAGTGGAATATTTTAGGAAGGCCAGAACTTGCAAAAAGAGACATGTTTATTATGGACTGTGCTGGTAATACTTGTTAAAATTGCCTCTTTTCATGGTCAGATTTTTTGTTGATTGCAGGTGCTTTTAATGGCAAATATTTGGAATTAAATCTTAAAGCCTGTCCAGCTAATTCCTTTTAGAAAATTGTAGGGGAAATAGTTCTGCTGCTTCAACAAATTAAGAGACCACACAAAAAATTCCTAATTATTTTGTTATTATTAAAATTCTGAGAAAATGTTCTGCAACATGACCTTGGTGCAATTTGTGTATCTTTAGGGCAGACACTTCCTGTAATATAGCACAAGGGGAAGGAAGGAAGGAAGGAAGGAAGAAGCTTATTTTCTGCAGATAAGGTAGCCAGCATTTTGTTCGGTAGCAAGATTACCACAGTCTATCAGTTTCTACATTCAAAGCCAGGATCCCACTGACTTGTACTGCAGACATATTTAAAACACTAAAAATCAGATCAGCAATACTGCAGTGATATCAGGACAAGCAATCAATGATTGTCCATGAAAACTTGAAATGTTTTGCCTAACTTAATATGAGAATTTTGCTGCACAAAGGAGAATTTAAATTAGCCATACATGTGATACTTTTTAAATTTAACTTTTTTATTTCTGCAGCATTTGAATTATTTGAAGTTACTAGTGGCTAATACTCTTATATTTTTTATACTGTCAAGTGGAAATTTCCTAAAATTTTTTCTACATTTTGGTGACTATGTTTCTTATTTTCTCTATTTTGGATTTTTTTAAATTTAAATATGTGAAAAAAAAAAAGACCTGGGCTATTTCTGAACCATAAGGCATTGTTGATCACTAACATTGGTACAGGCAATAACTGACTTGTGGAACAGCAGCACTGATGAAAATAATGGGGATGTAGACATGAGACTCAATTATGAGCTAAAAGCATTCCCCTACTGGAATAAAATAAACCACATATTGGACTATATAATTAGAATTGCACCCAGCAGATCAGGGGGTGATATTTTCACTTCTTTGCTTGGATGTGCTGCTGGTATGCTGGTATACTGAGTCATGTTTGAGGGAGTCCTCCACCCTCACTTCCACAAGAGATGTGGAGAAACCAGAGAGGGTCCAGCAGGGAATTAGTTTATGTTCAGGGGACTAGAAAACAAGAGATCTGAGGAGAGTTTCAAGGAGAAAAAAATTTTGAGTTTGGCAAAGAGGAAGCCAAGGAATGATTGAAACTGTCCTGCAAATCTGAAGAGCCCAGCTGGTTAATCTTGGAGGACAGCTACCTAAACCCCAAGAGCACTCCATGTTGTTATGCAGGGAGTTGAGTGGGTATGGCAGAAGGCCAGCATGGATGAACAAGATGCTTCTGGCTGACCTCAGACAGAAAAGAAAGTAAGCAGTGGAAGCACGGGTGAGCTACCCAGTAGGAACATAGAGACACTGCCAGAACATGTGGTGATGAAGTTAAGAAACTAGAAACTCATCTAGAATTGAAACTAGTAAGAGAGTTTTAAGGGCAGCATGGAGGGCTTCTATTAACTGTATCCATAGCAAAAACAAAACTGAAGAAAAGGTTGACCTGCTGCTTAATGGGTGGGGGATGTGGAAAAGGCTGAGAGTATCCAATTTTTTTTCACCTTGGTTTTTTCCCCTAATAAGTTTTGCCCTCAGGCCTCCCAGTTATGCATGTTAGCAGAGAGTGTGATGATGAACCACTGGCCACAGTAGACAGTGTTAAGGAGCACTTAAGCTACTTGGGTGCTTGCACAATACCAAACATTATGCATCCAGGAGTGATGTGAGTTCAGGGTTGCCCTCTGTCATTACCAAAAAGTTATGATTACTAGGGAAGGTCACTGATGACTAGAAACAAGCCAACCTCATCCATCTTCAAGAAGGATCCATTGAACTGCAGGCCAGTCACCTCCACCTCTGTCCCTGGAAAAATTATGTAGCAAATCCTGGAAGCCGTGTCTGAACAGAGGAAGGACTAAAAGGTCACTGCAAACATCCAGCATGGATTTACCAAGGATATATCACATTGACCAACCTGATTACCTACTCTGAAAAAATGACTGTCAGTGTGGATTAGGGAGGAGCAGTGGATGTTATATAGCTTGGTTCCAGCCAGGCTTTTGGCCTGGTCTTCAGACACATAATTGCACTAGAATCTGTGGGGTTCTAACTGGATAAATGAACAGCAGAGTGGGTGGAAGATTTGGGTCAAAGGTGGAATGATGTTAAGCAGTCTGACTGCTGCCTCATAATAATGTCAATTGCCATGAGGCAATACTGGATATTATTTAAAGTCCTTATTAATAACATGCATGATAGGGTTCTCAGCAAGTTCGTGGATGCTATCAAATTCAGGGAAGTAGTCAGTGCACTAGAAGGTAGAGAAGGAACAATACTGAGAAATGAACTGTCACAGAGCTCTTAAAGTTAAGCAAAGGAAAACACATGGGCCTGCCTCTGAGAAGTCATGTCTGCCTGCCTCATGTCACAGTACAGGTCAGGTGCCAAATTTCTAGAAAGCAGCTCTACAGAAAGGGAGTTGGGAGTTCACTAGCAAGTAAAGGATGCCCTTTGTTTGCATAAGGCCAAAGGCATATTGGGCTGCCTTAGCAGGTGCGAGTCCAGAAGACCAGGAAGAGTGATTGGTGAGTGCTTGTGTGACCACATGTGGAGTTCTGCATCCACTTTGGAGCTCCCTGGAGAGGGCAAAGAGCAGCTCCTTGGGGTGAGTCCAGCTGAGCTCCACCAAGATGGCCAGGGCTTAAAGCCCATGATGTAAGAGGGGAGGCTGAGGGACATGGGCTTGTTCAGCCTTAAGGTGAGAGGATTTGGAAAGTGGGGTGTGGTGGGTGATATGCAGACTCATTGCTGTCTGTAAATACTGGGTAGGTGTGGAAAAGCCAGAGTCAGACTCCTGTCAGAGAGGCAATGAATACAACCTAAAACTAGAGAAATGTTGACTCTATCTTAGTATAATTTTCATGTAATGAATTTGGGATTGTGTAAAAACACAAATGAGAAAGTTAAATGAAGAAAACAGTTCCACAAATTTTTTAGAGTGTTTTTTAGAGTGTCCAGCTGTTGGGAAGAATGGGAATCATAGAACAACTCAGGTTGGAAGGGGCTTCAAAAGAATATGACACAATTTTTCGTAAAAAAAGGAAACTAGATTAACTGAACATAAATCATATATATTTGCAAATTGTTTAAGGAATTAGCCTCTTATTTTTAGGTGAGGACATACGAAAGTTTATTTCACTAGATACCATTTTCTATGCTTGTTCTTGGGCTTACTTCTAAAATTGAGCTGTTGATTGTATAAGCCACCCCCTCTAAAAGAAAAAAGTGAAAGGCAGCCACTGTAGGAAGTGATGAAAAGTCCAGAACTATTTGATAATTTATACTTCTTCACACCTCCAAATCTTTAAATTCAATTCCCAGATGTGTAGTACATGATCAGTACAAGATACGTTACTTGAAAGTTTTGACAAAATTCTGCTACAAATTTTGCAAGTTACAGCCAGCTGTTCTAGTTAACCTCACTTAAACCTTAGACTTCTATTTAAGGAGATTACACTTTCTGAAGGCTGAAAGCATGTTTAGACATTGCTCTATTTTTTTTTTTAAGGAACTTTAAAAACACCATCAGCTTTCATTTAGATATTTTCCACTCGTTTTGTCTACAGAATGTATAAAAATCGTGTGTGTTGTACTGAGGCCATGAGACAGAATTCTGGAGACTGGAAAAGACATGCAAACTATGTCCTTCTAGATGATTTGAGGGAAAAGTAAAAAGTTTTCATTTTTTTAATTAGGTAGTTTTTGTGCTGTCTGTATATAATTTTGCCCATCTGTCTTCTGTATGTCTCACAAAACATGCAAGTATACATTAATAAAAACCTAGAGCAGGTGATATTTTTGTGTAATATAGACAGACTGAAGATTGCATTTGATGAAGATGTTAACATAGTAACATTGTACACAGTGATCCTTTTCTGAGCTAAAAGTTAGGAAAATCAGAGCTGGAAAGAGTGTTATAATAGGCCTTTTTATTGAAATACCATCAAACAAAGAATTCAATCTGCTGAAATAACCTGAGCTTGAGTTGATAATTTAAAACTCAACCTTCTGTGTTTTCTCTTTCTTTCTTTTTGTTTGTTTTTAATACTTGGGTAATTTGATATGCTTTTCAAAGTGAAATAAATTATTTTTCATAAATCATATCTGTATATTTTTTCAGTTGATCTGGGTAGGAGACCTTCACAGTTGACTAGTTATATTTAAAAATTAAAATGAAGGTATTAATAGGAATAAATGTATTAAAATTGGTCCTGCAGAAGAATAGAAGTACTTTAATAAGCAGATCTAGAGTCAATAAATAGTTCAGAATTTTAAATCTGAGAAAATCCCTTAGGATGAATGGAAAAATAAATTACTCTTATTAACTGAAAAAAACTATGGAAAGTCATATTATATTTTGTAGACATTTCACACCTTTTTGAATGAGAGACAATCAGCATCCAAATTACTTCATTTTTGTCTCATAATAAAAATTCAGTGCAGTAAAATTATTTTTAAAAATACAATTACTTGAACAATGTTCGTTTGAGATTTGTATTTTATCCTTTTGTGTTCCAGGGTGAACGTGGCTTTCCAGGTAATAAAGGTGAAGAAGGTGAAAAGGTAAATTGTTCTGTCCATGTAATTTATTGGTTTAACTTCTTGGTTTAACAATATGGTATATGGCCAACCAGGTAGAGCTTTGTTCTGACTGTCTACCTTAACCCTTTAATTAATAAAATTCTTAAATTTTTGACATATAAATGCTTAAGAATGAGAAGTTCTTTATGCATTTGTTGAGTGCTATCGGGGCTTCATTTAGATTTTTTCCTCTAAGAAAATTTTTGGAGGAACCAACAGAGCCTCTTCAGTGGCATGAAATAGTTCAATAGCTTGTTCAATAAAATGGGAACTAAACTGGCCTCGTGGAAGGCTGTCCTGGCTGATAGAATGCCAGCATTGGGCAGCATCAGATGATGCCACCCAGTCTTCTTGTGTTACTTTTGACAAGTAAGTCTTCCTAGGTCATCAAAGGCAAAAAAACTTGTGTTAAGGGACAAGTGGAAGGAAGAGCTGGACACTAGCTTGTCTAATAGGAATTAAAGTAACAGTGGTGATACTTTATGGTTGTAACTTCAGTGTCTGTTTAGTGGTTTCTCACTAATTTTGTCTGGTCTGGATTAGGCAACCTGAAATAAGAATATTTTCTTAAAACAGGTAGTTTCTCTGTGCTTCAGCCCACCGTCTAAAAAAGGGTGCAGAAGAGCATTTCTGCTGAATTTATATATCATAAAGATGAAGAATGACAGAAGCTGCTTTTCTGGCAATATTCAGACTGATGAAAATAGAGAGTAGGCGGCAGCTTCTGAATTTAAAAAGGTGTAATATATTTGTGAGTTAGGCTGCTTTGGACATGGATATATTCACTCACCCACCATACCTCTTCAGAAGTGTCAGACAGCTTTCCAGTGTTCATATTTTACAGAAAGCATGCTATGGATTAACAGAATTGAAACAGATTTAAAATGTGGAGTTTTTTTTAGGAAGAAGTATCCCAGTAACCAAGAAGGAAGAAGGATCAGAAGTAAAAACCAGCATCCATAGCAACTAACACATATAATGTGAGGATTCAGCCTCTGAAAAAACCCACTTGTTAAGCTTTAGTGTTTCTAACTACAATGACAGATCTTATTTCCTTGGTAGTATCATCATTCATCAGTTTTGAAGGGTTTGTGGATTTTTTTTCTTTTTTTTTTTTCCTCCCCATAATTGCTCTGCAGCTGTGCTGTGCTCTCCTCAAGTTTTATGTATAAATTGTGCTTGAGCACAAGCATAAGGTTCCAGCTGTTGCTGCCACTCTCTTTGCTTTATTTCCCTTATTTTAAAGCAGAAATAAAATGGCCCAACCACTGGTAGTCACATATTTCTGATGTGGAAGCTAAACAGCATGCTTAGACCATTTTTTTTATTTCTGTCTCATAAATTCAGATGATAATTAAGAGGTCCCATTTAAAAATCCTTCCAGTATTTATTATTATGTTTACTATTATTACTTATTAATGCTGCATTCAACTGCCCTTCAAATCAAAGGAAATAAGAGTGGAAGGTTCTTTGTTTACCAGTGATCACTCAAAAATAATTTGGGCTAGTCTCATCAGCAGCTACACATGATATTTGTGTGGGAAGCATGTGTTTGAAAGCTATGGGAAGTAGGTCCTTAGCAGTTATTCAGTTCAGCTTTAATTCAAATAATTATTTAAGAATAGCAATGTAGAGTTTCAGCTACTAAACTGCAGTATAAAAAATTATCAACACATTTGCATTTTAACATAGCAGCACAAAATGAAACAGTTATACTACTTCGTGTATAACAAACATGATTACAAAGCCTGAAATGGAAATTTTTCCTATTACCAAAAATTCTGCCAAATATTGCACATTAAGGAACAAAATTTTTGCACACACTATTTTGCATATCGCCTAGGGTGGGGCACAGCTACCTCAGTGCAGGGTATTTGCCATTCCAGTCTCCCTGCAGAAGTACATGGAAATGAGCCATCCTCTACTTTTGGTTTAGTGACCCTATAATTTCATAGGATTGAATACTTGATACCAACTCAGCCTTATACCTCGTTTCATCAAATGAAAATAGTTGTTTTTTTGTATTAGGGTCTGCTTTGGCAGGGCAAGCCTTGTGGACACCACAGAGGCGGAGACAACTGAGGTGACAGCGTGTGATCATTTGTACATTACAGTTATGGGAAGCAGCTATAATGTAAATTATTGAGGGAGATTCCTTTATGCTGTTTAAGGGTTTCTCTGCCACACTTGGTTCTTCTTGAGGAATCCAAAAGTCTTGTTTTGCTTTTGGTCATGGCTGAACTTGGTTCTCTCTTAGAAAATCCAGTAGTGGTATGGGAAGTACAGACTGTGAAGGTGTTATGTTACAAGTTTTCCCTCCAAGGGAAATATACTCTCACTGTGAATTTATTTTAATTCTCCTTTGTATTCTGTTTTCTTTGTGTCTCATAATGACACTCTTATATGATAGTATTATAACTGCAACAAAAACATTGGTTTACCCTTTTATAGCATGACTGAAAAAGTATATGCTGAGAGAAGTTTTAATTGGTTTGCTGCCAAGTAGGCAAACTAATCATGGGGATGTGTTCTCCTTCTAATACTGCTTCAAATTTTAATTTTACAGTATGGGATAGAAAATATGACTATTACATTTCATGATGATAGGAAGTCAGAAGGTACTGATAATAACTAGAAAAAAGCTTTAAAATACAGAATGTTCTTGGTAAATCAAAGATGTAGCCTGAAAATAAAAATGAAATTGCAACTGAAAGACTAAGATGTTCCAAAGGAAGTATTGTCTGCAACACTAATTAAAAAATCCTATTAAAAAGTGATATTTGGTGTTGGCATGGCTTCAATTTTACAGATTTTGAAGTGCAAGTGCTGGGAATGACTGGTGCTCAGGAATACAGAACCTTTGAGCAAGGACTGCATGATTTGCTCTTAGTGTAGAGTCAGTTGAAAATATGTGAACAGTCTTCAAATACATAACATTGCTGCAAAGGAGGAAAGAAATGGTCTGTGTGTGTGTCTGTAGTGCATGCTGGCCAGTGGGCTGGAAATGCAGCAAGGAAGATGCTGTGTAGCCATTAGGAAAGGGTTTTTAATTTTAACACTATTTATTACAGAAGTCATTTCCTCTTGCAGTGGTATGCAGTTTTTATCCTGGTAACACAAAAGAGAATAAACTAAAGACTTGCTACATGAAAACACATGACATAAGATTATCTTAAATGACTGCAATTTTCACTTAATAGCATCAAAATTATGCAAGGTGTCCCTTACATTTATTTCAAATTCAATAAGCACAGAGAACAGCAAGAACATTTCTTTTTGAACATACATACTTGTTTGTTTTTAATGTCCAGTTAATCATTTTCTGTGATAGGACTGTAAAGCTCTGGAACAAGTTGCCCAAAATGGTTTTCTAGAAGCAAGTTTTCTCAGAGATTTTCAAGGCAAGCCCTGAGCAATCTGGCCTGATTACCAGATTTGGGTCTGGATTTCAAGATCTCAGACCTATCTTGAAACTTGCAGAGGTTAAAATCTTATTTATTATTACTTATTCTGATACTAGAAGTATGTACATAACTTGGTGGTTGGAACAGACCCAGTGCCTGTTAGCTAGGTGGAAAAAGTCCTATGACCTAACACTACCTTATTAACTGGACCATGGCAGTAAGTACCACATCCAGTCTTTTTTTAAACACTTCCCAGGACAGTGACTTTACCACCTCTCTAGACAGCCCATTCCAATGCCCAGTCACTCCTTCACTTCTGTGAAGTACTTGTCTAATGCCCACATTAAATACCTAAATTAGACAAATAACCTCTAAGATACCTTTTTCCTTTTTTAAATCTGCAAATAATTCTCTTTCCTCCTGGTTATTGCTTCCTTTGGTCACTCAAGTTGGTACTCTTTAACCAGGTCTCCCACTTTTTCTGTTGTCTATATTTCTGGTTAGAATATGTATTTTCCTTAGTACACTTTACAGATATGATTCTTTCTGTAAATGAGCTAGAACACTAAGAATTCAGTTTTCTGGGACACATGAAATGTGAACTCCATATATAATTTTCAATAACATTTAGCAGTCATTATATGTGGAACAAATCTGAATTTTATTTGAAATAGTGATGATGGAAAAGCCAACACATTTACATGTTGATTATAGCTGGGCAAACATGACTTGATTGTCACTAATAGATATTAGTCATTTTACAGACCTGGGAATCCTAAATTATTTCCTTTGCTTAGTTTAGCTATTTCAAAATGCTGGTATAAAATCCCTCTTTGTGTTGTAAGTCAGAGAGGCAAGGTGTGCTGTTATATAACAAAATCACAGGACTAGCTGATATCTCAGAAGACTCAGAGGACTTTTTCCTTCATAAAGCATATTCCCTTTCTTTCACACTTGAAGTAGAGGATTTTAAAACTGGATGTCATTGGACCTGAGCTATGTTGCAGTTTGTGTGTTGTGATATGCACTTGTAAACACTTGATCTCTGGTAAAGTTAGTATTTTGCTATAATTCTGTGATTAATATTTCTCAGTAAAATTATATTAATTAAAAAGTTACATGTATTTGAATAAGGGAAACTTTGAGAATAAAACTATATTGATAGTTATTTATTATTCCAGAGTTTCATCCTTTTTACATTACAGATTGTGTGTCTTAATTGTGATTTCACCTGTTTATACATATGAGAAGAGAGGAGTCTGGGGCTTGTCCAGCCTAAATGTAGAAAAAAAATTCATTTGCCCAATTTTCTTCTAAACGCAGGATGTTCTTTGTATATATTTACTATTTTCTGAAGTACAATTTGAATTATCCCAGGAAATAGGGCTTCATCTATTTCCTTTAGAAGACAATTCCTAATAGATCTTAGTGTCAAGAAGATTTCCTGGAGGTTCAACATTTTCTACTTCATCCTATCACACCTAATAAAATACTCCTCTATCTACCTTCTATCCAACCAGAACACAGAGTGCTATAAACTTCCAGGGTGTCCCCAGGTGTAGTCTTTTTTTCAGTCTT